TGGCAATAAGACAATCTAACTATGTTTTAAACTGAAATTATGAGAGTGTTATCTGTGCCTCAAAATTGTCTCAGAGCTTCTGAACTGGAGATTTATGTTTATTATGCGCGCACACACACACACACACACAAACAAACACAGAGAGAGAGAGAGAGGTGCAGACATGCACACACATATATGTGCAGAGTGCACTCCAGAAATATAACATTTGTTACTATATTATGCTTTAGTTTTTTGTGAGCTAGAGCCCACTTCACCAGATGGCATATGTGATATCCCAGCTTGATGACAGGGATGTGAAAATTTCTCTGTCTCATTTTTTGTTGCATTTCTCAGATTTGTACCAGCATTTTCATCCCATCCCAGTTGTATATTGGGGTTATGACAATATTTCTCTTCCCATATGGAAATCCATATATTTTGTGTGCATCAAACACATTTGTTGCATAGAATGTATGGATATCATATATGTCATATATGTATTTTCTCAATGACTGAGGCACGTTTGTGTATATCTTTCAAAAGCTTGCAATTTTAGTTATACATGTCTCTAAAGTATACCTTATTCACTGCATATTTTCCCTCTAAACATGTCACAGGCTTTGGAATGTACAGAATTATGAGCTAAGGTATGCTTCATTCCATTACCAGTCTCAGGAAGTATGAAATGGATATAGAAATTCAACTGATGTCTTTTCCATTCCTAACTGATGGGTAAATGTGAATATAAATACAAAGAAAAAGACATACAAAAGTTGGAGAAACCATGGGGAATAGCAGCTAGTGCCTCATTGCTATCTACAGAAGAAATGTGGGACCTATCAGAATGAGAAGTGACCCATTCCAACTAACAACATCTGGTGTTCATCTTAACAAGAAAGAAAAAAATGAATACATAAAGGACAATTTATGAATACATCAAGGACAATTAGCAGTCATCAAACTGCTAATACTGATGATGAGCTAAAAAATGTGGCAGGGATGTAAAAAATATTCATAAATATTCTTTATATTGATCAAAAAAGGTGTGTCTTGATGTATCAAGATGCATCAAGACACATCAGGATTGATAAAATGGTCAACTGCCACAAGATATTTTACATTTTGAGACTTCTTATGAAAATGTATTTTTGCCAACAACAAAAATGTTTTATATAAAACACACTGGTTTGTACAAAAATCTTATTTTAGTCAGGCATGCACTCCATTTTCTGTGCTAAGTCTTAATGATTCCCTAATGAATTTATTTATTTATTTATTTAAAATTTGTATTTGTAATAATTTATATCACAAAATTGATAGTGTTGCTTCAATAGTAAAATAATTACATCTGTTACAATACCACTTGATTAAATTAATATATATATATATATATATATATATATATATATATATATATATATATATATATATATATATATATAGGCAATCTCTCTCTCTCTCTCTCTCTCTCTCTCTCTCTCAAACCTTATTCCATGATGCCCCTGTGATTTCTGGCAAATAACTGGTTAATAATGTCTGAATTTCATACAACTCCCTTGGCTCTTACAGTTTCCTTAATATTTTATATTCATTTATGAGCTCCTATGGGATGCAGTGGCTCAAGTGGTTAAGA